GATCACGGGATCATGCATTACGGCACGAGTAAAGTGACTTGCCGGTAACGAGATTGAACGAGGTATTGGGATACCGACGATCAAGTCTCGGGCAAGTAACGTACCGATTGACAAAGGGAATTGTATACGGATTGATTGAATCCTCGACATCATGGTTCATCCGATGAAATCATCATGGAGCATGTGGGAGCCAACATGGGTATCCAGATCCCGCTATTGGTTATTGACTGGAGAGGCATCTCGGTCATGTCTGCATGTCTCCCGAACCCGTAGGGTCTACACACTTAAGGTTCGGTGACGCTAGGGTTGTAGAGATATTAGTATGCAGTAACCCGAAAGTTGTTCGGAGTCCCGGATGAGATCCCGGACGTCACGAGGAGTTCCAGAATGGTCCGGAGGTAAAGATTTATATATGGGAAGTCAATTTTTGGCCATTGGGAAGGTTTCGGGGGTTACCGGTATTGTACCGGGACCACCGAAAGGGTCCCGAGGGTCCGCCGGGTGGGGCCACCTATCCCGGAGGGCCCCATGGGCTGAATTGGGTGGGGAACCAGCCCCTAGTGGGCTGGTGCGCCCCCCCTTGGGCCTGCCCTGCGCCTAGGGTTGGGAAACCCTAGGGGTGGGGGCGCCCCCCACTTGGCTTGGGGGGGGGGGAGCCACCCTTGGCCGCCGCCCCCTTGGAGATCCATCTCCCTAGGGTCGGCGCCCCCCAAGGCCCCTATATAAAGAAGGAGGGAGGGAGGGCAGCCGCACCCTTGCTCTTGGCGCCTCCCTCTCCCTCCGTAACACATCTCCTCCCCGCTTGCGCTTGGCGAAGCCCTGTCGGGATCCTGCTGCATCCATCACCACACCGTCGTGCTGCTGGATCTTCATCAACCTCTCCTTCCCCCTTACTGGATCAAGAAGGAGGAGACGTCTTCCTAACCGTACGTGTGTTGAACGCGGAGGTGCCGTCCGTTCGGCACTAGGTCATCGGTGATTTGAATCGCGTCGAGTACGACTCCATCAACCTCGTTCTCTTGAACGCTTCCGCGCGCGATCTACAAGGGTATGTAGATGCACTCCTCTCTCCCTCGTTGCTAGATGACTCCATAGATTGATCTTGGTGATGCGTAGAAAATTTTAAAATTCTGCTACGTTCCCCAACATTTTCCATTGTTAGTCTGAAGAGCAAGGATGGGACGCCCAAACTGCATGCTGACATAGGAGTAAAAGGCCGACAAAGTGGAGAGTGCATCCGACTTTCGTCGTAAAGGAAACGTCCACACATAATGAGAATAATCATCAAGAATAACCAGATAATATAAATAGCTCGAATTACTAGGAACCGGAGAGGTCCACACATTGCTATGAATCAACTGAAAAGGAAAAGAAGCTATGGTGGTGGAGGTATTAAACGGAAGGCGAACATGTTTGCCGACACGACAGGCATGACAGGTGTGATCCTCTATCTTATTACAACTGAAACTGAAACTCCTAAGAATATGACGAAGTGTGACGGGGTTGGGGTGACCCAAACGAGCGTGCCAGAGATCGACGCCAGCGGAGAGAGCAACCGGTGCGGTGGTGGAGGTGGACGGCGGATGCACCGGATAGAGCTCGTCGAGCTGTCACATCGGTGAAGTACCATCCTGGTTCGAGCGTCCTTGACACAAAAACCAAGCTCGTCAAATTCAACAGTAACAGGATTTTCATGAGTTAAACAACGAACGGAAATAAGATTCTTAATAAGATGAGGTGACACAAGTATGTTAGACAAAGTAATAGGTAGAGAAGTAGAAGGAAAAGAAGTGTGCCCGACATATGTGATAGGTAGTGTGGAACCGTCGCCGACAATAATGCGGCGGTCGGTGGTGACAGAAGTGAAGGAGGCAAGATTACCAGGATGAGCAAACATGTGTGCCGTAGCCCCAGTGTCCATGTACCAATCACCGCCTCCAGTGTAGTTGTTCGGTGTAGGCGCGGTGTGCAGTGCAGCGAGGAGCGTCGGATCCCAAGGTGCCGGCGGTAGGGCCGGCGAGGGTGGCGGCAGGGCTGCAGGGAGACCGTAGGCGCCGCTCATTTGCGGCGGTGGGTATCCTCCGTACGGTTGCGGAGCCGCGTAATACGCCTGGTGCACCGGTGGGCGCGGCACATGAAGCGTCGGTGCAGGAGCCCGTGGAACTGGCATGGTGTACGCATGGACAATGCCGGTCCAGGGGTTGTAGCCGGAGGCCCATGGGGGCGGCACCTGGAGCTGCTGCGGCGCCTGGAACTATTGCCGCTGCTGCTGACCACCGCGGCGGCCACCACGCCGACCCCCGCGGCGCTTTTCAGCGGGAGGAGCGGGGGGCGCGGGCGGGCCGTACGACAGTGGCAGGAGCCCCGGCTGCTGGGGCGCCGGGAAGGGCGCTTGATGACGCTGCTGGGGTGTCGGGGCAGCAGGAGGCGCCGGAGGCCCGCCGCGAGTGGTGCCGGCGGCGAGGGCGGTGTGGATGGCGTGTCTTCACCTTCTGCATCCGCTGCTCCTGCAGGCGGAGGTATGCAACGAACTTGGCGAAGGACGGGTTGGGGATGAGGCTGAGGTTCCCCGCGGCGTTGCTGAAGTCCTCGTTGAGCCCGGCGGTGAGCGTGCTGAGGAAGAGGTCATCATCGACCTTGGCGCCGATATCGCGAAGCTCGTCGGCGAGAGTCTTAAGGCGGCGACAATAGTCGTCGATGGAGGTGTTGTCCTGATGACACCCAAAGAACTCTTGCTGCAGAAAAACGCGACGCTAGAGCTTGTTGTCGGTGAAGAGCCCGTTCAGTTTGGTCCACACGGCGCAGGCATCATCACCGTCCGTCACGACCGTCTGGAAGAGGTTGGGCGTGATGGTGAGGAAAAACCAGCGGATGATTGTGATGTCGATGGTGGACCAGTCATGAAACTCGGGAACGAGGCTGGAGTCGACGGTGCCATCCACGTGATCTATGAGATGATACTCCCGAAACACAAGGAAAAAATACGTTTTTCACGAGTGGTAGGAGGAGTCCGCCTGAGAGAGACGAACCGGCACCCGCTCGAAGATGTTAAGCTTGCGGATGTCGTTGACGTCAGGGGGGTTGGCGTCGGCGAACGGGTTGGAGTTGGTGGACGCGTAGGAAGTGACAGACGACATGGCGGAAACGGGACGGTGTGAGCGGCTTGGTCTACCTGGCGATGCGTGTGGCGCGGCAGGCGATGCGAGCTACAGCAGCGATGGTGATGCGTGTAGCGTGGTGTTAGTGCGAGCAGGACGAGCGGTGGCCTCGGGACGTGGGATCGGGAGGCGGCGGCGTGTCGCTAGCGGGCAGGACGAGGGAATAGGACGATCTGGCGAGCGACGGGACGACCTGGAGAGCGTGGAAGGCAGTGCAGCGGGCGGGCGGGCTAGCGGCGGCTGGCAGGATTAGCGGCGGCTAGTGCGTGATTAGCGAGAGGAAAAGCGGCGGCCGGTGCGGTTGACGCACGGCGGCGACGGCGCCAGCGGAAGATTAGGGTTTAGAACCTAAAAACTGATATCATATTAGATGTATGAATTGCACGATGTATTGATTCGGTGCAATATACACGGTATATATAAGTATAATGTGGGGCCTCTACCTCAATCTATACAACAACTAAAGATGTGGGCCTAATGTACAAAAAACAATATACATGCACAAATACTATCCTCAACAGTGAGCTTCAGGGTCCCTCATCCACTAAACAATGCCCTCCATTGGCCTTCGGCAACTTGACAGAACCCACTAAACAATGTCCTCCACTTGCAGAACTCTTTCCTTGCCAAAGAAAACCTCACAGGATTTGTTCCAGCTTTTTTAAAGACTCTTTAGGCCACAAGAAGCATGCCATGAAATGATTTGGAATCGCACCGAGCACGGAGTTGATCAATATTAATCTTCCTCCCCAAGAAAGAAAGATGGCCAGACACCCACAGAGTCTTTTGTCCACTCTGAATTACTGGCATTAGCATGCCATGCGTATTTTTTTGGGTACATAAAGGAAGGCCCAGGTTATTGATAGCATATTAACAATCTCAGCCCAGGAGATAGGTTCATCCAACATACTAATGTCGAGTTGACCATACAGATTTGCGGGATCAATAACTGGAAGAGATGAGTCCTTTCCAAACAAGTTTGTGAAGAACTCCGCAGCAATAGTCAGCTTTTCTGAATTCTCAGAGTGCTGTATGTCATCTCTCATCAGGAGTAATTCTGTTTTTTCTGGAGTGACAATTTACAGCGGCGTAGAAGAATTGCGTGTTTTAATCTCCCAAAACATACAATCTCTGATCTTTGCTCAGTCATCTCCACATGCTAGTTTGCCACAAAATCAGCTGCTGGGCCTCTTTGTTGGCATATGCTCTTAAAAGTTAAAACCAACTCAAGTGCTGACAGCTTCCTTCTTTCTTCCACTGCTTCAGTGTACTGAATCACATGCTTGCTGTTGGCCAGTAGAGTTTGTAAGCTTGATTTAGACCTAGCCCATTGTCTGATTTCTGCTCTGATTATCCTCAGCTTATAATTGATTTTTGAGGAGTTTGAGGAGAAATATCTGGTTCCCCGGTTCCAACTGCTAGAGGTCAGTGGTTTTCAAAATGGAAGAATTTGAGTTTACACTCAGAGAAAGGCCAGGTTCCACTAAGCCACTAAGCATTAACCAGGAACCAGTGCATTGCATTGCCTTCTTGGAGGCTCCAGGCTAGAGCTCCGCCGCCGGAAGCCCCAGCAGGTCGGGTGAGCCCAAGAATGAAGAGGGGAACAATGTACCGGCTTGAGACCACATAGATTCAAGTATCATAGCATTTCGACATGCTAATTACTTGGGACATATCAGCTCCTTATGAAATCAACCATTTACCGAATAAAGTCACACTTGATTCACCATCATCCATAAACTCACAAGAAGCAAGCAGTACACAGCATATCCGGTGCCATTGGAGGCACTACTTCTCAAGCGGCAATTTTATTTAGGCGAATACTACTCCGCTAGGTGATTACTAGGCAGCCGCGTGGAGCCCAACCTTGGTCGTCAGCTCCTCCTTGATAGCTCCGACAACCCTGTCCTTGACGTCTCCTTCCTTCATGAACAGGAAGGTTGGCATGGCCTCGACGCTGAATTGCTCAGCAATGGGCTGTTTATACAACAATAAAGCTTTGTTAGTGACACAGCTCTGATTTTGTACCACAATACTCTGTAAACAGAGTCATAAGTTCCTTTACCTTCAGTTCATCAACGTCGACCTTGAGGAAAACAGCAGCTGGGAACTTCTTGGCGAGATCAGCAAAAATTGGAGCCATGATGCGGCATGGTCCGCACCATGATGCAGTGAAGTCAATCACCACCTGTTACCAAGAAAACAAGGTCAACATTGCTGCGATTGTTCCAGGATTTCTGAGTTGAAACTCCATGAGAAGTTTATTTTAACACCGACGCAAAAAACACATTACAAACTAAATAACAATCATCATATGAAGTCATGGTTCAGGGTTTCCGTGGGTTAACACGATCATTCTTCCTATGCAACCTTGAAGAGACGTGATCTACAAACAAAATATTGGTGCAAATTCGTAGCAGTACCCAAAATCTCCATCCAACACCACAAAACTCATGAGGCAGCACAGTGCGCCAAAAAAGTGCTGCAAAATTATGTAATGAGATATGCCATCAAGATGTGTTTAAAATATACAAACCACTATACAGGATTATGGCAAACAATACACACGTTCTATCACAACATAATCAACTCATGACAGTGGTTTCAGACAATTCAAAGAAAATAAAAAAGACCTTGCAAAGTGAGGTGCCCCCCCTGCACTACAATGTACCAAATCCGATGCCATGACATTTTTCAGCGACCTAGTGGGGGTGTGACTAACTAGCTTAACGAAGCCCTGACGTCCAGCTAAGTACTGCACACGGTCTAGACCTGAAACTGTCTGCTTGTGCTGCAATTTTTGCAGTTGACAAATATTAGATCCCCGGCACCCCAGAGATTGGGGGAAACAAAACGGCACTGAATATTCTCTCTGATGAAATAATCCGACACACACCAATCCAACTCCACTAAGCACAAATCCGTCCTCGTGTGGCCAGTACAAACACGAAACCAAACCGCTCTCATCCACCAAACAGTATTACTACTCCTAGGTTTAAGATTTTTGGTGACCGAAACAGACACCGACGCTCGACGTACGGCTCGAGCAGGATCTGAAACAAAACCAGCGCTAGGCCATCCGCGTTCCCGCCGCTTTGCGGAACTAGTACTAAGATAGGGGGGGAGGAGAAAGAAATCGATCCAGAGAGATAGATGTATACCAGCTTCTTGGCGGCGTTGGCCTCCTCGATCTGCATGGTCCACTGCTCCAGGCTGTGGACGGAGATCACCTCCCCCGGCCCCACCGCCGCCGCCGTCGCCGCCGCTGTAGTCGTCGCCGTCGCCGCCGCCGCCATCTCTCTCTCTCTCTCTCTCTCTGCTTGGCAAGCACCGCTTATTTCTCACGCGCACTTTGTTGTTGCCTTCTGGCCTCTGTCTCCAATCCCGGCTCGCCTCCCCAAAAATATGGTCTTGTCCGGCAGGCAGGCAGGAATATGCCCTTCTCTCCTGCGCGAAATTACGGCGGAGCCCCTGGGGCCCGTAGCTATCCGGATTGGGACTGTTTTTTTTTATATCAGTACAGACACAAGCGCTCATATACACGCGCATACCCTCATCCCTATGAACACATACACGCGTACCTTACCCCTATGAGCATCTCCGAGAGACTAAGCCGGCATATCATCTTGAGATTTACGAAGTCACCGTAGGCGCCTCGTCGTCGACGGGAACGTCTCCTCCCACTGAAAACGCATCGTCGGAAATCCTGAAATAAATCCAGAAATAATACGAGCACCAGGATTTGAACCCTGATGGGTTAAGAATACCACTGTCTACCTAACCAACTCAACCACAGATGAGACTGTTGAGCGGTCAGACGGGCCACCGGAGGCGTGTGTGAATAGTTCTTTTTCTTCTCTGATGATGATGACGACGACGATGATGATGATGATGGTAATGAGGGTATAAATACCCCAATCTCAATCAATAAAATAACTGTTCCATCATTTACTCCCTCTCTCTCGTTTCTCTCTAAACACGTTATCAGCACGCCTCTACCGAGAGCATCGACGGACAACTCCAATGAACACTGGATACGCTATGCAAAGAGCAACAAGGCCACCATTAGACGAAAGCACGAAATCCAGAGAATTGGAAATTCCCTGCATCTACCAAGACGAGAAGAACAGGGAAGTAGAAAGAAAACAGAGAAAAGGGGCGAGGACCGAACGGGGGACGAAATTGATAGAATTTCTCATCCGGTGGCAGTGTGTGGCCATCAGGCCATCCACCGCAGCCCTCGGCCTCGGCGCGAAGCGGCTTCCAGCGCGGAGCACCTGACGTCTCTGAGCCGCGACCGGCCTCTCAAGGCGCGGCGGCGCCACCTCCAGTGCGCGTAGGTGTCGCTCCTTCCCTTCTCCTAGACGCCAACGGCAGCGCCCGCAACCGCATCTGCGGCCTTCCTCGCCACGGCCAGCCCACGGCACCCAACGACGTCGACGCAACGGCCATGGTCGAAGCCATCAGGCGCGGCGCGCGAAGGAACGGCCATGGCCCGCTCTCGAAGGCAGCGCACGGGCCAGCGTCGCAGTCGACAAATGGCCGTGACTGCGTCCCTCTCCGCCCGTCGCGGCCACGACGAGAAACAACACGGCAGCGCCGCCCTACGGCGCGGCTCGCTGTAGGCGGACTCCCCTCGAGGCTCCTGGCGGCACGGTCGCTAGAGAACGCCCTTAAACGCACGTGGCGTAGTCAGTTTTCTCTGGCCAGCAGTACGCGGCAGTTACGGGAAAAATTCCCGATTTGGAACCGCTCAAGAGAGATGAGGAATCTTATCTCTTTGGCATTGCTACAGTTTAGCCCTTGTACTTGTGTATATTCACATATACGTTCCTGCAAATTGAGGGTACAGGAGTCTTGGCCATGAGTATTTTCATGTAACACATGCCTGACATCTGTTGTATTGAAGGATACACCCAGGTTCACCAAGGATCGTCTTGGCCATGAGTATTTTCATGTAACACATGCCTGACATTTCCAATTGCACTAAATTCATGATTAGGTGGGAGTATTTATTTTAAGATGATTCATGACATCAGTCATTGTGTCCACCCGTGGCCTATTGCCACTACAACTCCACCTTCTGCAGTGGCTATTCTCTTGATAGCTAAGTATATACATGTTGCATTTTATATGTCATCAACTTCACTTAGTTCTCAAACTAAGTAATTATGGATGAATATTTATTCACTACAATTTTCCCTTGAGAGAAACATGCTGCCATGAGCACATTACGATTGATCACCCATTCGATTTGAAAACATCAAGTCTATTGCATCTCACAATTCTGTCAGTTTAATCAACTTCAAGTTGAGATCTCGTGATCAAATATTTTCCTATATACAGATCCAGTTGAAAAGCCCTTAATGCACTTTACATCCTCTTAAGATGGTACTTTTTTTATGATCAAGAAACATGGAATTTCTTAAAATCATCAGATTCACCCAATGGGTGCTATACCATAATTTAAAATTCTTGCTAGTATCGAGAATAGTATGCAAGTTAGTGGTCACAAAATAGAACTATGAGGAATTCGAAGTAAAGTGGAGGCTAATATACAACCAAAGGCAGAATTATCTCTTAATAGGAATCGGTCGTTTTCAAATGATCAAAAGACAACTCTCAAGTTTGTCAAATGTGTGGTTATATAAATATTGTACCTATGATTTCCAAACCTTCAAACATATGGTCGAACTACACCACAAATTTATTAAAAGGCCAATAAGTTCAATGGGATAAATTTGAAAATTTGCAAATAACAACCAGATTCTGGTAAAGGATTGTTCTCGGAATCTTCATCAGAAGGAGGACCAAAAGTCTAGCGCAGAAAATGGAGGATGAACACATTTGCACTCAATAATATTGGAGACCTCAGGTAATCTCCTAATTATCCCAACATATTATTAGCCTATACTTGTACTACTACATGTAGTAGGATGCCAAATATCATATCCTTCGGATACAATATTTGATAAATTTGACTGTATGTTTCAATTCATGCTCAATATTGTTGCGTAGACAATAATTTTCTAACTCTTAGTAAATTCAATATTTGGTTTAATAACATTAGTCATCCTGGTTTGGGGATGATTAGAAAATTATTGACAATTCTGTTGGTCACAGCTTATCAAGTTACAAATTTTCTCAAATCATTAGATTTTATGTGCACCACATGTGCCATAGGGAAATCAGTTTTAAGGCACTCTCACCTTAAAATTCTAAGCAGACCACTTAATTATTCTTCCTTGAACACATTCAAACGATATATGTGGATTGCTTAACCATTATCTGGGGTAATTTAGATACTTCATGGTACTCATATACACATTCACAAAATGTTTTCAAGTGTGTCTCTTATCACACACAACCATGATCTTACCCAATAAATTGCTTGACTTAACAAAGTAGGAGCAAATTCTCCTGAAATAAGAATAAACCCATTCGAATGGACAATGTCGGGGAACTCATTTCACGAGTATTTTGTAATTGCATTCAGTACTCTATATACATACCCAGAATGGTTTAACTAAATTTCTTATCATTTACTCCCTCTCTCTCGTTTCTCTCTAAACACGTTATCAGCACGCCTCTACCGAGAGCATCGACGCACAACTCCAATGAACACTGGATATGCTATGCAAAGAGCAACAAGGCCACCATTAGAAGAAAGCACGAAATCCAGAGAATTGGAAATTCCCTGCATCTACCAAGACGAGAAGAACAGGGAAGTAGAAAGAAAACAAAGAAAAGGGGCGAGGACCGAACGGGGGGCGAAATTGATAGAATTTCTCATCCGGTGGCAGTGTGTGGCCATCAGGCCATCCACCGCAGCCCTCGGCCTCGGCGCGAAGCGGCTTCCAGCGCGGAGCACCTGACGTCTCTGAGCCGCAATAGACCTCTCAAGGCGCGGCGGCGCCACCTCCAGTGCGCGTAGGTGTCGCTCCTTCCCTTCTCCTAGACGCCAACGGCAACGCCCGCAACTGCATCTGCGGCCTTCCTCGCCACGGCCAGCCCACGGCACCCAACGACGTCGACGCAACGGCCATGGTCGAAACCATCAGTTGCGCGGCGCGAAGGAACGGCCATGGCCCGCTCTCGAAGGCAGCGCACGGGCCAGCGTCGCAGTCGACAAATGGCCGTGACTGCGCCCCTCTCCGCCCGTCGCGGCCACGACGAGAAACAACACGGCAGCGCCACCCTACGGCGCGGCTCGCTGTAGGCGGACTCCCCTCGAGGCTCCTGGCGGCACGGTCGCTAGAGAACGCCCTTAAACGCACGCGGCGCAGTCAGTTTTCTCTGGCCAGCAGTACGCGGCAGTTACGGGAAAAACTCCCGATTTGGAACCGCTCAAGAGAGATGAGGAATCTTATCTCTTTGGCATTGCTACAGTTTAGCCCTTGTACTTGTGTATATTCACATATACGTTCCTGCAAATTGAGGGTACAGGAGTCCTCGGACTTGGTTTGTTCTCTAGTTTAGTCCATGTACTTGATGTAAAGTGTAGAAGAAGAAGAAATGTAACATGTTCAATTTGTTTGCCTCATGCAAACTCTATAACATGTAACAGTGTACAACAACTTCATATTAGCAATTGAAATATATATTTTTCTTGCAAATGTTGAAGTAAACTCACACAAAATTATAGTGTGGGCCGTTTTGCCCGCAAAAAAATAAATAAATAAATAAATAATTATAGTGTGGGATTACCTAAAAAAAATTATTTGTGAATCACGAGGTATTGGTGGCATCTACTGCATAATTTGCAGATTATCCATCAGTACTGTGAGGTCTACATCTTGTCATTTTGATAAGATGACTACCTTCGAAGTGCTCTTCCAAATATTAATATTATATGTGACTACCTCAAGATATCATAAGGTAATATTGGCATCTACTGCAAATTTTGCAGACTATCCACTATTACTGCAGGTCTACATCATGTCATTTTGACAGATGACTACCTTCAATGTGATTTCATACATTTTGCATAACATAAGGTAATAGAATTATGAACATCTACTGACAAAAGTCAGACTATGTTTTCTATTACTGCGAGATCTACACCGCATCCGGTGACTATCTTCAAAGTGTTATTCTATATAAATGGAGGTCTACACATATGAGTGTATAGCATCAGCTATCATAAAAAAATTGCTCCTCTGAAGCAATTGTTGTTGTTAACTAAAAAAAAGATATTTACTCTCATAGTAAAAGGTATTCATGCATGAACACTACATGCTGAAATGGCAAATATTTTCCACAAATATCATTTATGCAAGCCTCATTTTGCTTTAAT